CCCCCCCTCACACCTCCCCCGGACGGCCTACGGTGTGGGGGGGATGGTGGGAAATTAATTCCCACTCATCATAAAGTGGCCAAGTTTGGACAACACTGTATTAAGGTAATCCTGATTCTAATTCCCAGAATTCCCCAGCCAGCATGGGGAACTCCCAGAATTCTGGGAGTTGAAGTCCACACATCTTAAAGTTGCTGAGATTGAGAAACCCTGACCTAGAGCTTCATATACAGAAGTCCCCCATGCTGGCTGGGGAATTCTGGGAGTTGAAGTCCACACATCTTAAAGTTCCCAAAGCAATTCTGAAGCGTGGATCTGGAATCGATCACATTTTGTCAGATAGTCCGCAGTACTGAACGTTACTTCCCTAAAGCTGATAGGATTACCGTGAGAAAACGTGTCCTCCCACAAATCAGGTTTGGAGGGCAGACAGTGAAATAAGTCCACTGTGCTGAAATCCAGGCCTTCCTACAGCAGATAATTTATTTTCCACTTCCCTATCTAGACCTGAAGGTCTCCTCCTTGGGGTGACTGGAAGAGAACTATATCGAATAAATGACAGATGCGTTCTGTTGCGATTTGGAACGGTTTTCATTTCTCCCCAAACAGTTCCCTTTGGATTAATAAAAACAAGGATAATGCAACTTACCTCACTATTTAAGAAACAGTAAAACACAGACACAAAAAAACCCTAGAAAGAGGAGAAGAGAAATGTTAAGAGGTGATTCCCCCCCCCCACCACAAAGAGGAGAAAAGCATTCATAGGCTGTGCGCACGTAGATGCAAGCTTTTTCAACTTAAGAGGCCGATCCCTCAACATCCTTACTGCACATGCAAACGAAATTGATCCTTCAGCCGTACAGTTTGTTAAATGCAGCCCATAAAAAGTATGAAAGGGATCTTCCCCAACCTGGCAGTCTGATCTTTCAGAGAAGCTTCAAACATCTCCCAAATTTGTTTAAATTGGAAGCAAAATCTAGGGATGATCTAGAGATATGAGGTTGCTCAGCTGCATGTCTTCTCTTAGTTACAATTCTACCCGCTACTAAAAGGGCTGGGTTTTAGATGCAAGAATCTTGTCCAAGTGATGCATTTCAAATGTAGATGTCAGGGCCAGCAACCATAACCTAGAGCACTTGCTACCTTATATACTTTGAACCAGTGTTTCTCAACCTTGGCAACTTTAAGATGCGTGGACTTCAGCTCCCAGAATTCCCCAG